AGGGAAGGATATGGTTTTTGAAGTGAGCCCTGAAAGGGGCTAGAATTTACAGAAATTGTTTGTAAGTAGCAAGAACATTCAAAGCATGATGAAGGATAGAATACAGCCTATGCAACAGCGTGGAGAAAGGAGAAGGAACGGCGTGTCCAGCAAGCAGCGAGGGGGTCAGTCTGGCTGTGTGATAGCATACACAGGAAGGACCACTGTGTCATCAGTCTGGAAAGAGCTGGAGCCAGACTGTGAAGGTTTCAAAATACAAGGCAAAAAGGACTCTAAATATGAAACCAAAAAAAGTCTAAATTGTAAAGGTAATAGGGAGCCACTGACACTTCTTGAGCAAGGAAGTCATCTATTTAAACTGGTTCTTTGCACAGCTGTGTGGAGATTGGATTGGAAAGGGGGAGAGGCTAGAAGCAGAGAGACCAATTCAGAAGCCAGGGCAATAATCCAGGCAGTGGTGAGGCATTTAATTAAGGTATTATGGTATAAGTGGAGATAAGAAGATAAATACAAGAGACAAATGCAGTTGTTCGCTGGAGCAACTGGGAGGATGAGTGTCCCCTAAAAAATTATCAGGTCTGAGGGAAAAGATAATGAGCTGCTTCAGACACAATAGTTTTGAGATACTTATTGGCCATCGAGGTAGAGAGGTCCAGCAGGCAATTGGAGATGAGGAACTGAAGCTCAGGAAAGAGCTGAGAGCTAGGCATGTAGATTTGAGAGCTGTCTGCACAGAGATGAGAATTGAATACATGGGTGCTGATGACATCCCTGAGAGTATAGAAAGAAAGAAAGAAGGGCTCCGGAACAAAACCCAGGGTATATCCCCATACAGGGAACAGGAAATGGTTAAGGATTCTACAGAGGAGATTGAAAATTCTTACACAAGAAGAGAACCAGGAGAAAGCAATGTCATAAAAACCCAGGGATATGAGAGCAGCCAGGATATGTCTTCTGCTAGTGTCCCCAACTTTAGCATGCTGTCTTTCCTTGGAAACAAAGATTTGCAGGTGTGAGTGATCTGTGCATATGTGTGTGTCTGTGTCTGTCTGGTGGGGACAGGAGTCCCATAAGCACTGTTAAGAATGAGTTATTGATGCATTGTTGGTGGAGTAGTGAACTGATCCAACTATTCTGGAGAGCAATTTGGAACTATGCCCAAAGGGCTATAAAAATGTGCATACCCTTTGACCCAGCAATAGCACTTCTAGGGCTAGATCATAAAAATGGGAAAAGGACCCACATGTACAAAAAAATTTATAGCAGCCCTTTCTGCAATGGCAAAGAATTGGAAATTGAGGGGATGCCCATCCATTGGGGAATGGCTGCACAAGTTGTGGTATATGAATGTAATGGAATACTATTGTGCTATAAGAAATGATGAGCACTAGAACCCAAAGTTTTAAAAACAAATGTTAAAAAATCGTTTTCACCTGCAACTGGGAAATAAGATATACAGGCAATGGGGTATAGAAATCTATCTTGCCCTACAGGAAAATAGAAGAGGAAGGGGATAAGAGAAGGGGGGGGAGATAGAAGGGAGGGCAAATTGGGGAAAAGGGTATTCAGAATGCACGCTGTGTTGGGGTTGGGGGAGGAATGAGATGGAGAGAAAATTTGGAACTCAAAATCTTGTGGGTGTGAATGTTGAAAACTAAAAATAAATTAATGAATCTTTAAAAAAAAAAAAAGAAATGATGATCAAATATGGAAAGATGATATTTGTAACTCATGAGACCTCTGGCAGTATTAGGGTAGTTGGAGGGAAAACATTATGTGTATATATAGATAGGTAGATAGATAGATAGATAGATAGATAGATAGATAGATAGATAGATAGATAGATGGATGGATGGATGGATAAATAGAGGGTACAGGGTGAGTTGAAGATGAAGAGTTGATATCTGGAGAATAAAATTAAGGGGTGAGAGGATTATACTGGAAGAAGGAGAAAGGGAGACGTAGAATGGGGTAGATTATCTCCCATAAAACAGACAAGAAAAGGCGTTTACAGTGGAGGGGAAGTGGGGGAAGATGAGAAGGAATGAGTGAATTTTATTCTCATTGGATTTGGCTTAAGGAGGGAATACCATACATACTCAATTGGGTATGGAAATCTATACAGGAAAATCCTACAGGAAAATAGGGGGGAAGAGGATAAGGGAAGGTTTGTTAAAGGGGAGGGCAGATTAGGGGAGGGGGTTATCAGAAGCAAACATTTCTGGGGGCAGCTAGGTGGATTCAAGAGGTCCTGAGTTCAAATCCGGCATCAGACACATAACACTTACTAGCTGTGTGACCCTGGGCAAGTCACCTAACCCCATTGCCTAGCCTAAAAAAAAAAAAAAAGAAGAAGAAGAAGCAGCAACAAACATTTCTGAGGAGGGATAGGGTCAAAAGAGAGAGTAGAATAAACAGGAGTGGGGTGGGCAGGATAGGATGAAGGAAAATATACTTTTCCACAACATGACTACTATGGAAGTGTTTTGCATAGCTACACATGTATAACCTGTATCGAGTTGCTTGCCTTCTCAGTGAGGGTGGGTGAGGAGGGAGGAAAGGAGAAAATTTGGAACCCAAAGTTTTAAAAACAAATGTTAAAAAGATTGTTTTCACATGCAACTGGGAAATAAGATATACAGGCAATGGAGTACAGAAATCTATCCTGCCCTACAGAAAAATAGAAGGGGAAGGGGATTGGGGGGAGATAGATGAGAGGGCAGATCAGGGCATTCAGAATGCATGTCATCTTGGAGTGGGGGGAGGTATGAGATGGGGAGAAAATTTGGAACTCAAAATCTTATGGAAGTGAAAGTTAAAAACTAAAAATAAATAAATTAATAAAGGGGGGGAAAAAAGAAATGATGAGCAAGCAGCCTTCAGAAAAACCTGGAAAGACTTGTATGGATTAATGCCGAGTGAAATGAGCAGAACCAGGAGAACACTGTACACAGTAACAGTCATATTGTGCAATGACTAAGTTTATTAGACTTAGCTCTTCTCAGCAATGCAAGGATCTAAGACATCTCCAAAAGTCTCGTAATGGAAAATGCTATCCACATTCAGAGAAAGAACCATGGATTTTGAATGCAGATGGGCATACTATTTGCTTTTTTTTTCCCTTCTGTTTTGTTTCTTCTTTCTTATAGTTCCTCCTGTTGGTTGTAATTCTTCTTTACAACATGACTAATGTGAAAATATATTTAATAGTAATGTATATGTAGAGCCTGAAAAAAAAAATGAGTTATTGAGGGGCAGCTAGGTGGCGTAGTGGATAGAGCACGGGCCCTGGAGTCAGGAGGACCTGAGTTCAAAAGTGACCTTAGACTCTTGACACTTACTAGCTGTGTGACCCTGTGCAAGTCACTTAACCCTATTGCCTAGCCACAAAAAAAGGGGGGAATGAGTTATTGAGGCCACTAGCTACAGAGCTCAGAGCTCATCACTTACACTACTCAGCTGCCCAACACTATGAGCATTTGTGGTATTTATAGGGGCTACCAGACTGAGAAATGGTTATGGAAAGAGCCCAGAATTGAGAATAGGTAGACCTGAGTTAGTCTTGGCTCTGTCACAAACTGGTGGCGTAGCTTTGGCCGAGTCATTTACCTTTTCTGACCACAGTTTCTTCATTGGTAAGATGATCTGTAAGATTTTCTCTAGAGATCATAGGAGTTTGTGAACTCTAATTCGCTAACAGGGAACAAGCTTCAGGGAAAACTCAAATTTTCTGAGAAACCCCTCTGGATAAAGAAGCTTGCAAAAACCTGCTGTGGAGGGAGAGAGGCAAAGCTGCCTAATTTGTTTTGTTCCCTGATGGCCCATGATGCCAAATCCTTAAGGGCAATTAGGACACCTAGTCTTGGGATAAATTAGGCAGTAACAGAGGCAGCTAGGTAGCATGCTACATAGAGTCAGGAAGACTGAGTTCTAATCCCACCTAAGACACATATTAGCTATGTGACCCTGGGCAATAGCACCTTTGTCTATCTAATAAAATGAGATAATATCTGTAAAAGCACTGTTCAAGTGCTAGCCACTACTGTTTTTATAGGGGGCCAAAAATGGCAAAGGAGCAGAAGTAAACGGAAGGGAGAAGGGTGATTTCAAACCAGCAACGACAGAAAGAGGCAGAAGAATATAGTAGAAAGAAAACTGGCTTTGGATCCAGGAACAGCTGGATTTACTATCAGTCTGATCCTGTGCAAGTGTCTGTTTGCCTTTGTCTGCCTCAGTTTCCTCATATGTAAAATGGGAATAATAATGGCACCTACTTCCCAGGGTGGTTGGGAGGATAAAATGGGATATTTGTAAAACACCTTATAAACCTCAATGTGTTATATAAATTCTTATTCTTATTCCTATTCTTATTATTGTTATTATAGTCCTTTTTCTAATACATGTCAATACACTGGGGCAAATCTCTAAGACAATCAATTGCACAAGGGTAGTGGATCCTCCCTGGTCCTTTTTCACCTCCCTTCTGCCCCCCACCTCCAAAGAAAAGATCCCTTGGATTTAGGGGTTGGGGGTGCAGGGAAGACAAGCAGAAAGCTAGCTGCAGTGAGAGCCAGTAGTCGGGCATCGAGGATCTCCTTCCACTTTCTCTCTCCCCTTTGCAGAAGTGCATTCTCTCCACCTGTAACCCCAAGATGTTGCAAGGACATCTGCAATGTGCTGTTCCAGTGCAGCCCCAGCCTCAGCAGGGCAGAGGTTGAACGGTAGCTGGGAGTTGACCCTCCCAACCTCGCGTGGCTTCCTCCCCAGGCTCGTGTTCGCGCTAGGGAAAGCCAAGGGGTGATGGGCACAGGAGAGAGGAGCGAGACCGGGACTTGACCCCCACAGGCAACAGTAGGCGGTGCTGAGCGGGGCGCCTCTGCTCTGGGAAAATCTCCCAAGGGTCCCCACCCCCAGAAGTTTTGACTGGAGCAGAGGGGGTGGGTGGGGTTGGGGCTGGGCTCCCAATCCCGCCCCACGGAATCACAGCCCAGTTAGCTAACTCTGAGGCAGCAGGAGCCCACTCAGGGCACAGAGAGCCGGAGCAGCCCAGCAGCTCCGGGACAACTAGAGCAGCCCAGCGGCTCCCCAGAACGTTCCAAGGGAAACTTGCGTCCCGGCGCGCGTGCTGCTCCCACACGAAAGCAGCCCAGGCTCCGGGCAGATCCCACAACCCTGGGCATTCGTGGGAGCTAGTCCGGCTCAGCCGCTCCCAGCAGCCGCCTCCGCCTCCTCCATCTCCGCTGTGTCTCCCCAAAAAAGGACAAGAAAAGAAAGGCTCGGCAGGCGTGATGGCTCTGAGTTTCAGGATCCAACTGCAGGTCCTGCTGCTTCTGGCCGGCCCGGGAGTGGGAGCCCCGCCCAAGGCAGGAGGGCGAAGGCGACAAGCGGAGGTAAGTGGCATCCCCCGTGTCTGTGTGTCTGTGCCTATGTCTGAGGGAGTCGGGAGAGGAATGGGAAGGGGGTACGTGTGCTTGGGCCAGGACTAGCCCCTGCAGCCAGACCCCGAATCCCAGATGCAATGATCCCCAGAGCCACAAAGAGTTGCTGCAAACTCGCCAGACTTTGTTCCCTCCCCCACATCCCCCTGAACACGAGTACAAAAAGCCTAAGGACCCAGCATTTTTGCAGGTTCCTCAAAGTCTGTTTCATAATCGGACAGGGGTCTGCTCCCCAAATCGTTGCCTGACTCAAGGGCAGGACCACACACACACACACACACACACACACACACACGCTCACACTCACACTCACTCACATACGTGGGGAGTCTGTATGGAGGTGAGACTGTGAACCAGTCTTGGGAGAAAGGGCTCCTCCTCTACCTCGACCTGCCTCAGTACCAGAGACTGTTTCACCCACCAAACAATACGGAGAATGTGGAGACACATATCGTCCAACACTTAACATAGGCAAGCCACTTTGTTAGGTCCTGGAGAGAGGCATCAGATCGCCAGGTTCCAGCTTTACCACTTTGGCCCATCACTTCAGCTCTCAGCTGCCTTGTCTGCCTTAGAGAGTTGTTGCAAGAACATGCAAGATGTGAGGCTCAGGGCTTTGCAACTGTAAATTATCATTAATTTGTCATTGTCGAGTCTGAAGCTCACACCCAACACTGCCTCGAAGGACTTTCCTCTTTTCCTCAAAGAATTCACAATCCAGTGTGTCAAAGATGTTTTGTAAGGGAGTTGGGCAGGGGGCAAGAGTAAAGTCTGTAAAGACTGGGAAATTTTGGAATTTTTAATGTATGTTTGCTAGAAATACCTTACTTATATTAGAGAAGTACAATAGTGTACTGGACTTAAAGTCAGCAAAACTTGCTTTCAAAGCTTGACTCTGAGACACTAGCTGAGCAGTCCTGGGCAAGGCGCTTAAGGCATTTAGCTCAGACACTTCCTAGGACTTATCTGCTCAGTCATAGATGGTTTAATATCAGTTTTGGTGGAGAGACTTCCCCCACCTGGAGTTCTTGATTCCATTAATTACTATTACTGAAGTACATAGTGTTTCTATCATACCTTTCCAAGAGTTTATATAAAAAAAGGCATCTCTATACTTGCTTACCTCTTTGCACAATAATTCAAAGGTGAGACCAAGTCATTGCCATTTTAAAAAGCAGAGGAAGCTGAAAAGTGAGTCTCAGAGACAGAAAATGACCAGCCCAAAGTCACTTTCCCTCATCTAGGGCTATGGACACAAAACTCTTATCCTCAGAGGGGTTCATTCCTACCCTAAAATGACCTACTTACTGCCCCTCTTCTTCAGTGTCCAAGACTAGGAAAGAGCAGTGGAAAGTTTAAAGAGAGCCTTTTCTAGGTCATTCTGATGGCCTCATCCCTCCCCATTTTTGGTTTATAGTGTTTGTGTGTAATGGAATTAAATAAAGGATCCCCCACACCAAATCACTTCCAAAGATCGGCCTCTTGATCCTGATATTTGCCTTCTGTGTTCTAGGTTATTATAGTTCCTTTCATTAGGGTTCTGTAACCACCACCCCAAGTATTCTCATGGCCCCCAGTACTACTACTACTAATTTACTTGTAATAATAATAGTTTCCTAAAAAAGTTAATATGTTGCTTTACATATATGATCTCATGCATTCCTTGAACAACTCATAGGTAAAAAGTGTTAAGTATCTGCTGTTTCTTGCTGTTAAGAGCATTTTATAGGTGAGGAATCTGAGGTTCAGAGGTGTTGAGCCCATTTACAGATGAGGAAATAGAGGCTCAGGGAAATGCCTAATAACATATAAGTAATAAGTGTCAGAGGTGGGCCTCAAATCCAGTACTTCTTAGTACCACATCTCCTGCTCATTCTCTTATGCACTACTGCCTCTGGTCCTCTTAATAACCAGCTAAGGATTCCTGAGACATCTCTCAACTTCCTTATCCATCCCCACTATACCATCCCCCACTCACCCATCCAAGCCAGTCCTGGTCAAATTGTTCTGCTGCTCTGTCTCTTTACTGTCTCAGACAAGGGGAAGCTTTGGAAATTAGTAGCTGGCAGATTGAGCTTCTTTCAGTTTATTGAACCTCATTCTTGGAAGTAGAGGAGACATGGAAGGAGGATGTTTGAGGTGGAAATGTTTTAAAAGCTTAAGAACTCTGAGTGTGGCACTCTCTCTGTGTGTGTGTGTGTGTGTGTGTGTGTGTGTGTGTGTGTGTGTGTGTTGGGGCTGGACGTGCCCATTTCTGGCCCTTCTTGAGGGCATAGGCTGTGCCACTTTTGTGTTGATTTCCCCAGAATAGGGCATGGAGCCTGGTTAAGCACTTAGAAATGCTTAGATTACTGGGTGGATTGGGTTGCCTGTGTAAGTTCGCCCGAGTAGCTGAGTGCTTTCTCACAGGATAATAAAGTACAGTGTTTTCTGGAGTTCTGAAGGTTTATTGCTTATAAATCTACTTTATGTTGAACTGTCCATTGTTGTCCCCTTGGAAAGGTTCAGGGCTATTTGGAACAGCAGTGAGGGGGAAAGGCAGCCTGCTGTTGAGTGGAAGGATTTACATATGTGGATGAAGTCCCTCAGATTTCCCTCCTCTGCCTCCCTTCTTCCACCCCCCCCCAAAGGACTGTCTTTGGTGACTTGTCTGGTTTCATTTGTGCTAGTATTTATCATAATGACCTAAAAATATTGACCTGGACTCTGCTTACTGATGGCCTAGCTGAATTAGCAAGTCAACACCAAATGCATTGATGGGAAGCTGGGAAATGCGAAGCCCATTTCCCCAGGGACACTTTGAGCTTTGAAGTCTCTGCCACTGAAGTCTCTGGGTCTATTGCTCATTGTCTGAAGCTCCTCGTTTTGCTTACTGTGAATCAGAAATAAAGTTGTGGAAATTATTCCCATTGTCTGTGTATCAGTGACTCATGGATGCATGGTGAATCACTGCCATAAGTAGATGATGATCTAGGGACCCTATGGGACCCTAAACTGGGTGGGAATGGGTAAAGGATTGGTCAGGGTGTTCGAAAGCCAAAAAAGATAGCAGGAGCCAGGAAGTAGATGCAGGGAGAAAGTACATATACTCCTTTTCCCTCTGTGGCTAGCCTTGGGAGAGACTTTAGGGCAGTGTCCAGTGCTGGGCCTCCAAATTCAGGAATGAAATAAGGAGAATCATGGGATGACTTTAGTACAACATGGTTGATTCTTTAGCCTACAGAAGGGAGTATGTGAAATATGTTCAACAGAGGCTGACCAGCTTCTCTTCATTTACCCTAAAGACAGAATATTAAAGAAGAGGAATAAAATTCAGCAAGATTCCCACTCCCAAGGGGTGGGGAAGGGAAGGAAGAAAGAAAGAGAAAGGAATAGAAGGAGGGAGGGGAAAGGAGAAAGAGAGAAGGGAGAGAAGAAGGAGGAGGAGGAGAAGGAGGAGGAGGAAGAAGAGAGAATGAAAGAGAGAATGAGAGGGGGAGGGAGAAAGAGAGAGAGAAAGGGGGAGAAGGAGAAAAAGGGGAGAGGAGAGAGAGAGAGAGAGAGAGAGAGAGAGAGAGAGAGAGAGAGAGAGAGAGAGAGAGAGAGAGAGAGGTAATGGACTACAGATGCCAAATGAGGCAGATATAGCTAGTTACGGCCAATGGTAGGAGTAGTTTTGTTTGACTACACTTATGACTAGAAAGGGACTTTGTGGGGAAGAGATAATTTGAGGAAAGAGAGTAGCAATAGAGGTACAAAAAAAATACAAGAGAAAAGAAAGACAGGAGTATTAGTGAAGCATTTTAAAAGGGGCGGAAGAGAAGAGAAAGCAGTTCAGAAGGAAACAGACAAGCAGACCAGCTTTGGCACACACATGCCGAATTTATAGTCTGCATTAAAGGGAGCTAAAGGGCAAGCTTTCTGTGGTGGAGATTTGCAGGATCAGCTGCAGTCCTCTTTTTCTGTGTATTAGAAAGAGGGCCAGGGGCAGCTAGGTGGCGCAGTGGATAGAGCACTGGCCCTGGATTCAGGAGGACCTGAGTTCAAATGCGGCCTCATACACATAACACTTACTAGCTGTGTGACTCTGGTCAAGTCACTTAACCCCATTGCCTAGTCAAAAACAAAACAAAACAAAACAAAAAAACAAGAAAGAGGGCCAGCTCAGCATTCAGCAAGACATGGGTTCAAATCCTGACTCTGTCATTTACTGGCCATGTAATGTAACCTCCAAGACTTCAAGGGAATCCTCTACAACTCTAAGTTACAGATGTGCTGCTGATCCATGGCAGTAGAAGGAATTGCCATACTGGGAACTCCTTACACAGATGAAATCATGGGCGTGGTTAAATACATGTGTGTGTGCATACACATATATACATATAAAAATATATACGTGTATACCTAGATGGAAGATGTCCCAAAAGTGCAGCCGGAAGGTGTCACAAAAATCTTAGTGCAGTTTTAAGCTATTGAAGTTTGGGGACACCTTGTATCTACATGTGTATGTGTGTGTACAGGCATCATGTCTATGTATAAGAGAATTCAAATTACTGAATAGCTATTGAATAGCTTAGATCTGCACTAAGACTTTTGGGCCACCCCATATATAATTAGTAATACTTTCCTTTAGCAGAGTCCTTTCTTAACTTTTCCCTAAAACATCCATCATTTATTCCCTTGTAAGGGAAGGAGGACTGGAATTATTATACTCATTTTACAGAGGGCTGTTGTTGTTTGTCCTTCATTCCTGAGGACCATGACTTCAAGGAGATGATGCCATGACTTGAATGTGAATTGGATTTAAGTGAGGCAGGGTTGTGCAAAGTCATCAGCCTCACTTTCTTCTCTGGAGCCATCTGGGTCCAGTGGCCAGGTAAGGGTGAGGACAACTGGAGATGGTCCCCATAGAGAGGGCAGTTGAGGGCAGAGAGAGAGGTTAAATCATAGTTACTCAGCACTAGAACAATGTC